CCCGAGCAAGCTTGTGAGGTTTTTTCGCAAGCTCTCAGACAAGCACTGAGCATACAGTGCTTATTAATATACGTTGGGTAAGGGCAAACCTGTTATATATAAATAATGCAGTGATCAATTCCCTCCCCCCCCCACCCCATCACCCTTTACACTGTCCAGGGTCTTATGTCAAGGGTTTGGTCATGTTGTTCAAGCCACAGGGTCTAGATTTTGGTCACTCAAAAATCTGAAAGAAGAGGCAAGCAATTTAGTGCAGGGGAGTGTAAATTACATATTGCAAACGGGGTGGGATTTTTTTGGGTCAATTCGTAAGTGACAATTCCTGCATGTATATCTGGAGGGAAGCCCTGGAGGGAAGGGTACCAGGTACAATGTAAGGGGAACAATTTTTAGGCACATACGGCATTTTGTAACGACGTGCAATGCACCATATGTAATTTTACGAAATGAGTACAGAAGCATGTTTCAGCTTTTTAAAACAAGATCACACATCATAGCCCACACTTGCCGGCATTTTGTAAATACGTGTATCAGGCACTTGAGATGAAAAAAACTACAGAATCAATGTAATTAAAAAAGCACTCGAAATGATCAAAAAATGACTATTTTTGTAGCTGGCATTCTCTTGATTGAAATCAGTAACAGCAAATACACTTAGAGCATTAAATGTATTTACTTGATGAAAGCATCAACTGAAGTCACCTAAATTCACCCCTAAAACAAATATACATGTATGGCTAATGTTAAACTGAAATTAGAAGTATGTCCCAAATTACTGAAACGAGTCAATAAGAACAACTCTTGTGTACTGCTTTGATGTCAAATGCGTCACACTGAGTCACGATGTGTATCAAGGCTTGATGGGACCCTATTCTTCCATGAATGACACCCTGCTGATGGCCAATATTAAAAAGCATTGAGGTTGTCAAACAATGTGCACATTGCTATAGTTGTTTATATTATCGACCCCCTCAAAAAATAAACACAAAGTCAAAACAGATATCGTTTAGTGGTGCCAGTGTTCTTCTTGAGACTTATCGCAGCATCTCCATGGCATCTATGTACATGTAGTACATGACCTGATCCCTCCATTGAATGTGGAGGTGCACATATACATGTACATATAGCAATGTGCATATCTATATCTCATCAAAACTATAAATGTATGTAACGACCACATTGTTAACTCTGCATTCCTTCCTGTAGGGAGGTTTAATTCATGAGCATCATTTGTAGAATATATTGGAGCTAGATCAATTGGAATTTGAATAATCAGTACTGAATTCCATGCATGATTACAACAAAAGTCATGGAAATGTAACTAATATACCTTAGTCCTACGAACTGGTTCTTGTAATTGTAAATATGCTCTCTGCAGAGTCACTTCAACTGTTCAATAACTCACTATAGGAACCTTAGTTTGGGGTTGATATATGCATAGTGTTCTCCAAGAGGGGTTTTTAGCATGGCAAGCCACCCTGCCAAAAGTTTAGACAGCCCCGCTAAAGTTTTGCCACCCCACCAAAATTCTCACCGCCCTGCTATTTTTTCTATTGGATTTTCCCTATTCTCCACCATCTTCACAGTTTATCTAAAGGCAGAGAAGTTTTATGTTTGCCATCATTATTCAGCACAACAGAAAAGCACCAAGCAGCAGTTGTGATCACTGCCAGAGACAGTATACTTACAAAAGCACAAAATTGTAATGGTTCCTATCTCCCGGTCATATCATTTTCATTTTGTTAAAATGCGTCAAGAATCAATACTTCCAATGCGTTTTTTCCTCAGAAAATACAGCCAAATTTCCTACATGTAGTTCCAGATTTTTCCTAAATCAGGATCGCTTGAAATAAGACTTCTTTTTCTTCTGCTTCTAAAACTACTTTTTATGTGTTCTACATTCTCAAACAAGTTCAGGTAAAATGCAAGCTTCTTGTACCAAATTTTTGTTTCAGAAAACATCTAGAAAAGAAATTTTTACCAGCTAGATTTCCGTCTGGAACTTCGACATTTTTGAACGGTTTGTCAAAAATCACAGGAGCCCAAAAATTAACCAAAAATACAGGGTGATAGGTCATTCTGTACGTGTGATTCCAAATACTTGTTTCTTACTTAAGAGTCCTATAAACTATTGCATCTAATGTACACTGTATGTTTAATCAAAACCGAACAGAAATGTACATGTAAGTGATGTAATGGGTTGATCAACTGCAGCGGGGGGGATAGTACTGATTGCTCGCAGTACAACAGTCAAACTTACACAAGTTTCACTAGTTAATTCACTGAAATTGTTATTTATGAACTAATTCTCTCGAAATCAAGAAATTCTGCTTGCTACAATGGCTCTGGCTGACTTTTTATACAAGAAAAACATTGTCGCTATTCGGGACCGGTTAAACCGACTCAGAACTAGAAGTGTTGTCATTTCTGACGATCCTCGAAGTCCAGATTAAAAGCTAAGATTTTGAAAGTAGTTTTGTAGTTTTTCCAATACACAAGGCGGACAAGTGACCATATTTCACCGGAATTATAGGATTTTGTCTCTGAAATCTGACCATGGAGTTATTTTTGAGATCCAGAATTAGGGAAGTGACTGTATATCATCCACTTGCACTGCGCCCACGTACGTACATGTACACGTAATCCCAAACCATCCACTCGATGGCAAGTTCTGATCAGTAAAAAGAAAATGCCCCAGAAAAAAAATCAACTTTTGGTTACCTTCTGAAAACAATCTTGCCTTCGATTCAACACGAGCAAATTTGATTCAAGGAGTCGAAAGAAAGTGCCAAGGAAATTCCTCAGATTGCACTACAGAGCATCTAGAATCCAAAAGTTCCTGGCGCCCTTGAGCGGGCCCCGGACTCCACGCTGTAATGGCTTCACGCTCCGCGCTCGCATTATGTGCCACCCTGCTATAATTTTAGGCTGTGAAGAACACTGTATGCATATGTACATTAAAAAAAGTTGAACTGAACGGCACATATGTCCTTCTTTCAATAGGTTTCTGCATAAGCATGGTGTGCATCCTGCATACTTCACTCTAGTGTACATTCCAGCAGCAATGATTTGCTTGACCCTTGTTCAACCTAAACTCACCACATCAACAGTCAGTTTGCTCAGCCTGGTAGTACTCACCCAAGCCACCTCCGGCATGTAGGCTTCTTGATGCAAGTCACACATGCATGCATACATCTGTGTGAATCCCCCGCACGGACCAGCATCTGGGAAGGTCTCCTCCAGTTTCATGTTGAGACTGGTCATGCGGCTTTCTGGGGAGGTGGTTATCCTTGGAATTATACTCCTATAGGAGGTAACAATTTCAAAAATCAGATTCCTGAACCGAAACGAAGGAAAAAAGATAAACACAGATTGGACATCGGTCTTAGAATGGAGACCGCCTGTCACTTCATGTTTGTATGATGGGGGGGGAGGTTCTTGAAAGACTCTAGATGAGTATGGAGGTATAGCTATTTAATGGAGAGGACACTGGGTTGGAATTCTTCCCAGTGGTTTGCAGCCACAGGCAGGACAGAAATTGCAGTCTCATACGCAAGGTTCAGGATGAGTAAGGAACTAGTTAGAACTAGTTACATACTCCATGCAGAACCTGTGTGGTCAACTTATGCTGGTCAAGGTAGGGGATACAGGATATATGGACACTGATCTGTATATGTAACTTAAGCCGAGTGAATTTGATGAAGCCTTTCCTGTAAGAGCTCAATCCTATATTGTTTGTGTGTTACAGAAGTGTATCAGTAGCTGTGCAGCAGTATACATGTACATGTATCACTGAAACAAAAATGAACGTTTTCATATTCCCACATGCCTTGAAATTGATTATTTATTGATTTATGTACATAAGTATACACATAAACATACATGTATACATGTACAATGTACATTTATCAGGTAATTGGTCTTTTCAACCAAGTCTGTGAAAGGCAACCTATTCATATTTATTCTTGTTCAAACCATAAATGTCTATCAAAGCACTCTTAATATGCAATTTAGCCAGAACAGGTCCTACATATAATCAAAATAATAGTAATATCAAAGTATTTATAAGATGCAGCGTACCTAACAGTAAAGTCATTCGGGGGCGGTGATATATACATTTACATGTTTTCTCATCTATGGAGCTTCACCCTCAGGATGTGGCATCTGTCACCATCCTATGCCTAGCTTAGCTTTGTTAGACCCAACCTGTCACTCCCTTCAACATTTAAGCCTGTTCCTATAAACAACACTAACTAAACCCAACTTTCTACCCGTCCTTTTAGGTCTAAATTTACATATGAAACATTATTATTTACAAATGTTTCCATACTGTACATGTTTTGGGAGAGTTTTCTGGTGGCTGGATATTATGCATTCAATCTTTTACCTGAAGCCACATGTGTACATCAGGGTTCATATACACCCTTGTGAAAAACATATTCCAGGACTTTTCCAGGATTGTCCAGGTCAAAAGTTAGATTTTTCCAGGACTTACGGTAATTCAGGTTGGACATGCAATACAATATATCAATACAATACAATACAATACAAGATTGTGAAGTTATAACATAACAATGTATAGAAATCGAGCAGCCCATCAACAAAGGCGTGACAAGTTTTCTGACAGCGACAACCGCACCACGAGATAGGCCTACACTACACACACCTGGCTATCATAAAAACATAAACTTCCCCTAGTCCATTCAACGTTAAGGGAAAAGGGTTCAACACGGTCACAGTTTTACTTTTACACTGAGTTTAATTAGTTTCTAACAACTACAAATATTTAACTACGTATTAAATAAAGTACATAAATTTAACAGAGAATGATTTCATAATTACATCCACAACAGGGTGATTCCAGAAATTAGGGGTCCAATTTTTTTCATGTACCTGTTACATCTGACATATGACTTTGTAAGTTCATAACACATTTTCTAATTTCCAAGAGTGATGAATTAATCCAAATTACCTGCCAAACAAATAGTAATAGTTAGAAATCAATTCTGGTGAATTTTTATGTCAAATAACAAATGTCAGATGCACATGTAACAAGGACACAAAAATGTCACACTTTTGGACCCCTAACTTCTGGAATTACCCAACAGACAGTTCACCATGGAGCTACAAAAAACGAAGGAAAAATTTGACTACAAGAAAGTTAAGTAATGATATCCTTGGTGCCCCGCACATGCAAAATAGAAAGAATCACATTGTGGGCATCATCAAAAAACGATTTCACTCATAGCGCTGCATGCAACGCCGCGCAATACCAACAATGTACGCAGGGACGGATCAATCGTGGTAAATTTCGGTCACAGTTTATTACATCATTTTTATCTCCTATTAAAAAAAAATATTGATTTCACCACAATTTCCAGGACTTCTTTTTAAAATGAAGCATTTTCCAGGACTTTCCAGGATGAGTATAAAATTCCAGGATTTTCAGGTTTTCCAGAAGGCGTGCGAACCCTGGTACATGTCATGCAGTCAGGTACATGTACGTGTACAAATACACTGAATGATCACATAAATTTGTTCAGTGAAGCACATTACTGTTTACTCTTTATTGAGTACGTGTATATGTATCTTGCTATCCTATTTATGGGCACAATTAAAATTAGACATGTGGCAAAGACTAAGTTATATTTTAAAATCTGATGCTATGCCATCTCGAGATTCATGCTCGTTTTACCACAACTCTACTGGGGGCAATCAGAACCACTAGCACTTACTCCGCTGGGAAGACATTAGGGAAACACTTCTTGATCTCCAAGGTGATTATCTCAATAATGGTGTCTACATCTTCCGAAGAGTCTACTGAGAGATTGTAGACAGTCTTGGACAGGGAATCCTTCTTCAAGGAGACATGGATCTTGAGCTGGGAAGGAGAAAAGTAAAATGCGAAACCTGCCAGAAGACAACTCTCAATCCAACTGAATATCACATTACAGGCAACCAAACTTAAATAAACCTTATCATGCTAAACACGACAAGAATTTCCCTTGCTCACTAGTCTCATGGACAATTCCTCCGAACATCTCAAAACTCTGAAAAAAACAGGACCCCTGAAGTTTATCAAATTTTGCAACAAATGTTCCATTCAGAGGAACATATGAGTACCAATTCGATTCTGAGCACACGCATTGGTATATCATGCGAGCAGGCTTGAAAAAACACCTTGTGCACGCATATATGTACACTACACTACAGAATCTCAGGTTCACAGCACCCTGTAAACGATACACTGTGGGAGCACATGTACATACATGTAAGCATGACAGTTAACTGTTGCCATGTATTTTTCATTCCTCCATGTTGTTACTAGCTACATGTACTTCAGTGAGGGGTGCGGCATTTGTATATCGGGTATATGCGAGGGACATCTCACCGCCACCTCACAGATTCAAGGAAAGATTGCAGTTGTGGCGTTCCACTACACTACAAGATGTGTATTAAATGTGCACAGCAAAACTTTCAACTATACGTGTACCATGTACTGTGAGTTTTCCTGCCATACAGAGAATTAAGAGGTGACAGAGATGCTTGGTTGCAGGGCATGTACACCTTGCTTATCCCACCAAACACCCCATGCTGCATACTGATGAGCATTTGTAATCAAATGACATACAAGGTGCCATATAAGAGACATGGCTGATCACAGTCTTTTGGTTCCAACTGAACACATGTCCGTTCTAGACAAATGACACTAAAGTAACCGAGACATGACACAACAGTGTAAATGTAGTCTTTTTACACAGCCCAAGAGCGCACAGGAAAATACTTCAATTTCAACCATACATATACAGTAACATATTACATTACTCCTTGCTTGTTTCTTGCACATAATATCTACATTACATGCCGTTTGCCAAGGGGTGTATGTGATTCTTTAGCAGGCCATTGTGACTTGAGCTGAAACATGAATCTTTCGTGTTTTATGTCACAGGAGTAGGGAAGTAGTGTGTTACAAATTCTTTGGGCTTGGGCCAAAGGCAATGGGCTACTTCATTGTCCCTCCTTTATTTTACCCAGGAGTAAAGTCAATCAGAAGTACACGTAACCTTCAACTTAGACAGGTATACATGTACATCTGGTCTATTCAAAAGTGCACATATATGTATATGGGAACTGAAATAGGAAAAATAGTGGCTTTGAATCTGGCTCTACACACAAGGCCAGCAACTTGTGCGTTCCTTCACCAATGCAATCACTGTTTCCGAACTATCTATAGCATTTCTCCAGGTTTAAATTTCTGCAAGTCATGAAGCAATCTCGGGAGGATTTGTGGTCTGCTATTAATTTCAATTCTCCTACCTGTTTATAGATGGCCCTCCTGGGGGTCAATAATGAAGCCATTTTTTCCAATGAGCACAAACACCATTACCGTATTTCTGAATTTGGTAATTACGTGTACTAGTGAGCAATTTGACTTGGGGAGAGCTTCAGGAGAGATAATGAGTCTGTTGCTGCAGCACTGACCAACCCATGTTCTCTCATGCCTGATGCCGTAAACACAGCAGTTGCCGCTTGTGCGCTGTTATTCCCACGAATGAGGCTCATCACTGTGAGACATCTCATTACATTTCTGCTGGAGACCACTGTACATGCATGGCCTCTTGCCACAATCCATCCCAAGCCTAAGTCACCTTGGTACATGCATCAATTGCACAAAATACATGTATAATTGGAAAATAATATTAAAATTATCACTGACTAATACCACTGCCAGAATATGGAAGTCACAGACGCTGTATATTACATTCATGGAGAGTTCAAGACTCAGTAACATCCATGTAGGAATAAACAAACACTTTACACCTCTCCAATAGAGTACCGAAGTGTGACGTCACTGTGAACCAGAAAGTGCAGTGCAAACGAATGGAGTACGCGCACATGTTGATTCACGCGCTGGTTCTTGAACTTATGCCTTTTGCACACTAATTGTGCGCATGAGGTATTCACTTCGGTACTCTATTGCAGGAAAGATCGCACACCAATGGAATTGAAAACAACGGGAGGCAGGGCATGAAATGAGGCTAACTTAAAAAGTAACTTACTGTAATCCCTAAGCAACTTACCTGGAGTGGCTTGAGACTTTCTAATTGATGAATTTCCAAGTAATGGAACTCATGCTCCAACTAAAACAAGAAATGAATATTCAATAACCCCACAGTGCATGAATACATGTATACATGTGTGCATGTTGCACATTACTTCTAAAAACTGGTAACAAATGGTACATGTACACATGTACATGTAAATGTACATTAATAACATTAACAGCGTGAAAACTGGGTCTACACCCCCAAATTTTATGTACCAATCTTATGGCATGTGTCAAGGGAAGTGGACGTCTAAATAATAAGAACAAAAGCAGAGAGTAATTCAGGTCTGGTATCCTGCCTTACAATGTTTATTATGGCGGGGACTTTAAATAATGAGTCCACACAAACAAATCAACATTTCTCCAAGAATTTAAGTCTTCACTGGCATGTGGGACTGACAGCCAAACATCCAGCAGGGCACAGACATGTACCGGTATTCATATGGATATTGGCCTCCAATCATGGACTTTGTATTGTCCCATTGTAACTCTGGTTTTCCTATAATTTTTATTAAATATTGGACACATGCCATTTTATTCCAAATATTTGGCACAGCAAACCACTCAATTTCACTCAAGGGAGCAATAAAGTGATAAAACTCTTTGTAATTAGGAAACAAGTTTTACAACAGGATGTAGATATTAACTTTGTTACAAAACTGTAGAAAGTTTTTGCTGTAATTAACATGTTTGTGTTACTGGAAAGCGTTCTGAACATCAATGATGGATTTGGCGCTATATAAGATTATTTATTACTATTATCAGAATTTGACAAGTGGAATGGTCCCACTTAAGTTCCATTCTAGAGGATAACACACTACATGTCCATGTATATATGAGGGTATGAAAGATGGACTTCTTTTGTTATGCAGGTTTTTCTGGGAGTATCTAACAGTAGAGGGTATGGGATAGCACTTTATAAACTAACTAAATACAAAATACTGCATAACTTTTTGTAGCAACAACTACTTCATCAGATGGGAGTATCTAGGGCTAGTTTGCATACTGACATTTACTTAAGTACCTTTGTTGGAATCTTGAACGACAGGATGAATGCTCTGTACTTTGACAGGGCCTGCAAAAAAATGAAACAGGACAATGAAAACATCTGAAAATGACATTTCTTCACAGTACATACATGTATATAAATCTACATGTGTACATGTAGCTACATGTGGTGTTTGCATTATACTGATATGTGGTCTTGTTATTGTACATACCGGTACATGTATGTTGCTACAAGCCTGTGTGTGAATGTACATATAATTCTAAGATCAAAAGCATGTTCACAGAAAATATACATCAATAGATATTGGAATGCAAACCACCTCACATTAGTTTAGAGATCAAGCTGACATCACATCAAAGCACAGATTGTACAAATGTACTTTTTTTCCTGATACTTGTACCTGTATGATTAATCTAAAAGCAATTAATGAAACCAAAGCAAACATGTGAGTTACATGTATTGCTCTTTAGCAGATGAAATGGACCAGAGAAAGTGCATACATGGATGGGTACCTTTTTGAGTGTTGCTGTGAAACTTTGTACAACCTGTGTACTATTTCAAAAGAATCACACTATGATCCTGTGTAAAAGATGATCGATCCAGTAATGGGAAACTTCAAGTCACAAAATCCTTACAATAAAAGGTTTCAATGGAAAGATTACTGCCTAAAATAAGATGGTTTACACAAGAACCCTTTCAATAATCAGTTATCCCCTCCCCTTCAAAAAAAATGGCCATTGCACCAGTAACTTCCATTGATTACAGACCTGTATTTATAATTCTGTGCACATTAGGCACTTCAAAGGTTTTAGGTCAAGCGGTTCATATCAGAAGGCAACAACTGTTTGCTTCAATTTACTCTGACAGTGTACATTTGCATAAAAGGAAGTCACAGTCAAGTATTCTATGTACCAAAACATGACAGTGAATGTATGTGCCAGTGCAAAGTACATGTACATTAACTGAAAATTTACATGTACATGTTATGCCTTCTCGTCAAAGGAAGTTTCATGTCATAAACTTGTACCATATGTGTGCATAATTCAATAATTACAATTGTATCCGTAAATCCACATACAATATTAGCAATCTACAAGTACAAGTACATGTAGGTGGAGAATTCATTAAATGAGCATAAAGTTTAAATCTAGGGTGCGTGTTCATTGTTGGATGAGCTGCGTTATCTCATTGATTGTATACCTCATGTTCCTAATTTGTTGCAAGAAGTGTCAACTTCAGTCACAAGGCAATGACTCATTCAAGAGGAGTCAATGTTTGATGAACATTTCATACATGTACATGTACAGAAGCTGTAATGTGGTCTCTCTCCCTTGCTTCAATAGTCATGCTGTTTCACACATTCTATCCTTTTTATCCCATTACTTCCTTCAGTGTAGTTTGCATTTTGAAGTCAGTTCAAACACTACACATACTGTATGTGTCATGTACATGTGCAGGCATGTACATGTATTCAATTCATTTACATCCAGCATGCGAACAGTTTTCTCCCCAAACAGCAAACTACTCTACTAGAAAAACAATTCTTCATATACGACTGATGATGCATGAAACATTTTCAGACTTGAACAGCCAAAGACAGATAGAAAAAGCAAAATAACTCAGGCCAGACAAAATAAGAATTGTGGTTTGGGTTAACTGCCCCAACCTAGCAAGCTGACCCTAAATCTTTTTGTTGAAAAAAAAATAAATAAATAAATAACAAAAATTGTTGCTGACCCCTGTGCTTATTTTTACACAAAGCTTTGTAATTGTTTTAGTTTTTTAGTTTTTTTGCTGGAAAATTGACCTTTTTCTCACATGTTAATTGGTCTAACGGTAGTCGGTGGTGTGATCATGATTGTGATTGCGGGGCCTGTTCAGAGTTTAACACGTCGCCCTCTATTGTCCATTGCTGCTATTTGTTTGTGCATTTCGTCTGCTCACCGAACGTATATGTAAACTATCATTGATATTACATGCAAAAGTAATCTGGGGCCTAGAGCATGTATCATGCTCACTTGCATGTCACATCACCCATGTTGTGCTAGAAGCTTGCACGCGTTATGGCAGCGGACGGCATGCTGCGGACCAGGGCAGAAGCGTTCGCCTTAGAATATTTTATAACTTTCATCTGTATCATTTACTTTCTTTGTTCTTTGTCTTTCATTTCATGTAAACAAAGGCATGTTTCGCAGATAAAGACATGACTTTGTAGACACTTGGAGATACATGTACATTAAACATGTCACAGTTCCTGTATGATTTACATGTACTCAAACCCAGCCTGCTTCTCAACAGCCATTGTGCTGCTTGTCATATTCTAATCAAACCTTTCTTACATACATGTAGCCGAAAATTTTCATAAACCATCAAAATCACTTTATCATTTAAAAACAAATTCCCACCCTAAAATTTTTGCCCCAAAAACTTTAGAAGAAAAACCAAAAAACCACCCATACCGGTACTACCCACCTACCCAACCTATTTTCTTATCAATGTAATAGGAAGCACCACTATTATTTTGTTTGGCCTTAGATATTTGGAAATACATGTAGATCAGTTTTAAATCATTCAGAATTTAGGCCTATTTGGAAATGCTCGCATTTGTTTTGGCATTCGAATTTTGCCAAAATTTGTTTGACAACCTAGTACCCCAGGGGATACCCTGGTGTGCAGGTATGTGCAGGTATGCAGGTAATTCACCAACTTATTCTCCAGTCTTTTTGGTTTTCATGAGGAGGATGGAGGATTTCAAGAAGCTGACTTAGAAAGTCAAATATCTGCAGTAATCCTTTGGAGTTTTGGACTATTAGACTGGAAATTATGAACATGTGCATTGTACATGTACTGGTATGTGGTACATACTATATTGGTGACAGACCACTCTCACAATGCCTGCTATTCCTATGGGCGGCCAAAGTTTACAAAAATGTCGTTCTATCTCAACACTCAGTGAATTATTCTTTTATTTTCGTAATAGGAGCCAGCAATAGCTTTACCAGCCACTGGTGGGCAAAAACACAACTGTGGAAGAGAAAAGTAATGTAGGCCCTGGTAATGTACAAATGTACATGTACCATACACATTATGCCATTATCACTGTAAGCAACTAAAAGAGCATCAACCACAGAGTTCAAATATGTTGTTTTGAACAACAAGGTACAGGTTGGTGTTTATGTCTATATATGGTTATGCCTGTGATGTGCAATTCCAGTCATCCCATAAAGTCATACTCAGCCAAGCATGACCGCTCAAGCAGTAACACAGGATACAGAAGGACATGTACCTGCATATGCATGTACAATACATGTATAGTAAACGATATACACTCAAACACAAAGTAACTGTCACTTCTGCATATGTGTACCTATTTTTACAAGATAAAATGGGCCATTTAGTCTATTGTGTGTACATTGGCCTTATTATTCAACAAACAAATGATGTAAATTGTCCATTTGTGGAGGAAGGAAAGCTGCACAATTTTATATCAGTGGGTAGGTCAATAACAAACTCTTGAACCTTTATGGTACATGTACATGTTCATGATGAGTGTGTAAGTGTGCTCTACTTCCTGGTAACTGTTAACGAGTTCTAATTATTATTAAAGGAAGTTCACATGCATGTGCATGTACGTATGCTATACATGTAGATGCACTTTCACTGTGCATGTGTCCAATTGGTACATGAGAAATAGAGGGTAGCCTGGGTATGAAGTACATGTAAAATGTGTCACACGAAAACGAATAACAGTGGAAATCAGTAAACCTGTAAAAAACTGTCAAAATAAATCTGAAGCTGTCCATGAAGGAAATCAACCAGAAAGAAAAGAAACTAAATGAAACACAATTCTAGCATTCCAAGGCCATCAGTAAAATCCGTTCACACGTACGTGTACTTCGGGTTACAATACAGAACATTCCCATTGCACTGACAAGCTAGGGTTTCTGTCCAGTAATAAGCCTTTTGCAAGTTAAATTTTAATAAAATCTGGTACACCGAGTTCTTAAAATTCACGGGAATACAACAATTTGAATCCTACGGAAGCGTATGAGGGTCACTTACAAAAAAATTTTTTCAAGATACTATCTCGCCGTGGCGACTTGCTATCTCGCTGCGGCGACTTACTATCTCACCGCGGCGAGTTATTCAAAACTAGCTCAACTCCCTGTATATTAAGACTCAGGCTAGATACCAGACCCATTTAATCTGACTACTCTTCTAATCAAGAGTCCTGTATCACCCAATGTCCACGTGACCAACACTCCCCCAGATTTCCAGGAACAGTTGAACTATTCCGAACAAAATGATATCTCGAAAACAGATTTTTTACGCTTCCGCAGAATCCTCCATCTAAGGACATTTTTGCAACCGGTATACCTGATTGTGATTTCAGGCAAGCTTTTGCTTAGTTACACACTGGTAAGAGACGCCTTGCACTAATACCAGTCCTTTCCAAATATGGTGGTCGCTACGTAAAAGCTTGTCCTAAATCACGGGGTAGAGTAGCATGTCTTCAGTCTGGGAATTCAAATTGTTTTGTTTATGTGCAATCAGATAACTCAGTGTACATGTAGTACTAGACTTATTCAAGTTTAACAAAAGGCTTAGGGCAAGTTTGATAAAGGACCATAGTTAACCATACTTCCACTGACTCTAAATGAATGCAAGTTAATCGACAATAGTTGGACTAGTCAAGTATTCGCGACCAGTTTATCAGATAGTTGGACTAGTCAAGTATTCGCGACCAGCCTATCAGATAGTTGGACTAGTCAAGTATTCGCGACCAGCCTATCAGATAGTTGGACTAGTCAAGTATTCACGACCAGCCTATCAAGGCTGTGTTGCATCATTGGTTGCCATAAATGGTTTTTAATAGCAAAGTGCAGAGAGGACGAGTAATAAGAAAAATTCTGGAAAACAGTACATGTCGCTAGTAAACGACCACTTTCATTTTTCATTTTACTTCTTTGCCCTTCCTGCGGCCACCTTTTGTTCCCTTCGGCCTGACAACCTGACAACAGTTGACTACATGTAGGTTCATTCCCACTTGAACATCACTGCACATG